CCCAAAGCCCCCTCGAAACGGCCCAAACCCCCCCCCCCGTACCCCAGCTGCGTCCCGTTCGTGGCCATCTTCGACAGCTTCACCATGGCCTTGGCGTAGTTCTCCTCGATGGCGGCCCTGGGGATGGCGGGGAGGGGGATTTGGGATGGAGGCAGGGTTTTGGGGACCCCCCCGAAGGGTTCTGGGGAGCTCCCAGGCTGTCCCCAGCCCCGGGTACCTCTCCCGGACGAAGTCGGCGAGCTCCTTGGTGGAGATCTGCCCGTGCTTCATGTTGTGGTAGAGGACGTCGAAGCCGTGGTTCTTCTCGCCCTGCCAGGGGAGCCCCCACCTCAGACCCCAAATCCCAAGGGACCCCCACACCCCCTTTCCCCCTGGGACCACCGGGAGCAGCGTCTGAGCAGCCCAAAACCCACCCAAATTGGGGTGCTGAGTTCCCCCCACTCCCACCCCGAACCAGCCCTCCCCAGACGGGCTGGGCTGAACCCCAAAAACCCCCGGGTTATTTTGGGTGCTGCCCCCCACCCACAAAGCGCCTTCAGCTCAGCCCCTCCCCCGCCAGCCGCGCTGGGGGTGCAGGTGAACCCCCAGGGGAAACTGAGGCAGGAGGAAGAGGAAGGTGGCAGCAGCCGCCGGAGGAACCAGGAAGCGCCGGCCGCGCGACTTCCCCCGCCCCCCCCAGGCTGGGGACCCCCAGGGACGGGGGGACAGCAATGTCACCACAGGGGGGAGACCCCCAGACCACCCCCCCCCCCACCGCCCNCCCCCCCGGGAAGGCCCCAAACCCCCCCCCCCCCCCAAATCCGCCGTGCTGGGGATCCCCGAGCAGAGCAGCCCCCCGGCACTCAGCGGGGGGACCCCCAAATGTGTCCCCCACCCTGGGATGTGCCCCCCAACTCGGGCTGTGCCCCCCAGCCCGGGCTGTGCCCCCCCGGCCCCGCTCCCCATCATGCACCGCAGAAAAACAGGAAACCCCAAAAATTCGCGCCCGGTTGGCGCCACCGGGGGAGGCCCCCCCCGGACTCACCCTGAGCTCTCGGGGGGTCCGCGGGGTCCCCCCGAGCATCCTCGGCGTGCCGGGGGTCTGCAGGGGTTCAAGGGGGGGGTCAGGGCACGCTGCAGCCCCCCCAAACCCGCTCCGAGCCCCCCCCGCTGCCCGGTCCCTCCGCACGGGCTCCGCCACCTGTGTCACGAGCGGGGCGGGCTCAGCGCGGCCCCCCCGGTAAAGAGGGAGGGGAAAGCTGGGAGGGGTCGCGGGGGGGGCTCGGGGCTCGCAGGACCCCCCCCCCAAACCGAGCCCCGCCGGTCCCGGGCGGCCGCAAACGCCACGAACGCGGCTCCGGCCAAAGTCCCCGCGGCCACCGAGTCCCCGAGCGGGACGGGGCGTGCGGGGTGGGGGGGGCTGCGGCAGGGACCCCCCCCCAACCCCGCGCCCCAAAACCGGGCGGTTCGAGCCAGCCGCAGCCGTATCCTTCAGCGGGGGGCGCGGGGGAACCCCCCGGAGGATGCGGGGGGAGCGGAGTGGGGGGGCTCGGTTCGGGAACGCGGGGGGAGAGCGGGCCGGGGGCTGCGCACCCCAAAACCCGCCGGGAACCGGAGGCACCGCGGGGGGAGGGAGGGGTTATTATTGGGGCGTGCACCCCAAAAATAAAAAACGGAGGGAAAGCGGCGAAGCGAGCCCTGCACCTGCAGCGGGGGGGGGCCGGCGGGGGGGCCGCCCGCAGCACCGGGAGCGGGCTCGTGGCCAGCGGGGGCTGCGCCGGTGCACCGGGGCGTTAGTAACGGTGGGCGCCGGGGCGGTGCGGTGCAGCGGGGCGCGGTGCACAGCGAGGGGAGGGGGGGATCTCCGGTACGCACCCCCGCACCCCGGTGAGGGCGATGCTGCGGGGGCGGCGGGGGGGAACCCGCGCGGGAACGGCGGGGCCGGGGCGGGACCGCGCCGGGACCGCGCCGGGGGCGGTGCTGGCCACGCCCCCTCCCGCCGAGCCGCGTCGCCATTGGCTGAGGCGCCCGGCAGCGGTGACCGCAGCCAGCGGCTGCCGGCTCCTATTGGCTGAGGCGCCGCCGCGCCGCGCGCGGGGAGGGGGCTCATTTGCATTTTTAAAGCGGCCGCCGCCCCGAAAGCGCGGCGGGAGCGGCGCGGGGGGAGACGCGCGACCGGAGCCGCCGGCAGCGGAGAGGCGCTGCTGGAGCTGCCGCTGTCACCCCGCCCGAGCTGTCACCCCTCTTCCCGGACTGCCGCCACCGCACGCGCTCCGCCCCCCGCGCTCCCGGCGCTGCTCCCGGTGCGGCGGCTCCGACGCACGCCCCCCCCTCGCCACGACCCCCCGGTTGTCACCGCACCCGCGGTGCCCGGCTGTCCCCCCCCGCCGCCGGTGCCAGCCGGTGCCTCGCACCCCGCTGAGCTCATGGCCCGGCTCCGGCTGTCACCGGCGCAGCTGCGGGAGCGTCCCCGCGGGCAGGGACCCGGCGGGGGGGCGGGGGACATTCCCGGGGTGGGGGCGCGACATTCCCGTATTCCCGTCGGGAATCTACCGAACGTCCCGCAGAGACGGGGGACGCGCCAGCCCCGCGGTGCCACCGGAGCCGGCACGGCGGGGACACGTCACGCGGCGGGTTCGGTTACGCTGCCTTTTGTCCCGGCGACACCTGGCAGGTGCCACCGCGCCCGGGTGGCACTGCCAGGCCCGGCCGGTGGCACCGCGGCAGCGCCGGTGGGCTCGGGGGGCTGGAGACCCCTCCCCAGCTGCAGCACGGCTCCGCCGGGGTCAGGGCGCTGTCACCTCCGCGGCCCCGCGGTGTCCCCGCGGGTGCTGGCAGCCACCAAGGGGGGGCAATGGCGGAGAAACCCCCGCTGGGACCCCTCCCCAGAACCCAAAGCCACTGGGACCAGTCACAGCAGAGTGGGGGGCTCAGAGGGGGCTGGGGGGGACGGGGACAGCCCCGGGGGTCACACCTGGGCTCGAGGGGGCCGAACACCCACTCCGAGCCCCCTCCCCAAAACACCCCCGCTGGAGCAAAGGGCTGGGAACGAGGGGATTTTGGGGAAGGGGAGGTTTGGGATTGGCTAGGGGGGGTGGGAAGTGGAATTTGGGGGGTGGGAAGGGGAATT